TCCCTTGTCTTTGTCGGTATTACCTTTCCAACATATATCACTAGTCGCTGTGCGACTGCTTGCGAGGGTTTAAGTATGAGCCCCAAGGCACAACGGAACGAGCATGTTCCGTAACCTGATCGGTGAGCGCCCACTATCATAAATATATATATATATAATATATATGTTTCGCAACAAATTACCGACCGCAGCTCCTCAATTCACAAGATAGATAACATATAAGCGACATACGACAATTCGAAATTTAATAGAAACTCAAATTAATACAATAATAGCATTGCTTAAAGCACGCAAACTAACACAATGTACGATAGATAACGAATAAAATCAATACACAAAAGCATGCGTGGAAATGGAAAGAACGCAGGATTAGCAAGGCAAGTTGAGTTTGACCATGCCGTCTAGCTACTGGCCTAAGCCGGCTTTCTCCCATTGTATGCTGACTGCTACCAGGTAGCTGGCATTCGCTACAACTTATGAACCGCTGAATGTCATTCTACTAGATGGATAACAAAAAACCGTTTACGGAAATTCAAATTTGCACAGCAAATCAACGCCAAACGACAAGAATTTTTAGTTAATGTACACAAATTAATTAATGAAAATGGTAACTTGTTCACGCAACATAGAATAGAAAACGAGCAAAGGTAACACGAAATGAAGGTGCCTTAAGAGAATGAACGGGGAATGAACACGTCTAGCTGTGTTTGACCACTTGGTCTAGATGTTTTAGTAGGCCATCATATGTTAGATGCTTTCGGATAGCGTAGATTTCTAGTTGTTCCTACCCAGAAAAGTACTTTCGTATTGCATTTCATCAGGCAAATGCAAAGGAAATTTTCCAGCAAAGTCAGTAGAGTATCGACGAAAACGGCTTCCCAAACCAACAAGTAAAATCCCTCGTTCTTGTTTCATGAAACATCTAGATAGCGGTCATTCTGTTGATTCCTAAACACCCTTCCGATTACTTGTGCGGGCACGAAAAACTTGCACTTTGCACTACTCGTGAGCAGCCGAGATACGACAGGAGAATGCCCGCATATACAAGGAGCTACACCGCGCCATCGTACTTAATTTGCCTTCTTAATCCCCCGCTCCTTCCATTCTGTCACTTTCTTTGCGTGTTCAATTCCCTCGTTCCGTCTTATGTAGCGTTTTTAAGTTACCATTTTCATTAGTCTGTGGGCATTGAGCAGCATCATATTGTTTTGCTCTGATTTTTGTGCAAATTGACATTGCTGTATGTTGCAATAATTTACCGTACTAACAACACAGGTATTAGCTTAAAGCCCAGACACGCGTGTTTCGCCGATCTTGTGCCGCTGCCTGACGCAGCTGCGAGGGGTTCGGCTCGTCAGTGGGTCCCCCAGCTTTCCCCGTGTGTTTTCTGGTATATGAACTCCAGTTTCAACTTGCCTTGCTTAATTTCCGAGGAAATTAATGCGCGAACTTGGAGTAACTCTTTCGAAACAGGCCTTTTCAGGCACGGTCCGAAATATGATATGAATATTTGAG